TTAGATGTTATTTATCTAGTATTTTTGCGTTTGTCGGATTGCATGTGAGTGAAAATCAGGTGATCAACGATTAGCGATGCAAGTGGTGCGTTATTTATGCGGGCCACTCCCATCCACAACGATTGCCAATAATGCGGTTGATTTTAAGCATAACAATCGCTAATTCCCATCATCGTGCTGATGAAAACAACAAGCTTCTTTTTTCAGTAACTAGCACGAATCCTCATCAGTCTCCACGCCTTTTCCGTCGATTTGTAGCATTTTTCATCATCTTTCAGCATCTTTTTCATCATCCTTTCGTCATTTACAGCATCTTCTCATCATTTTACAGCAAGTTCTCATCGATTTTCAACCCGTATTCGTCGAGTACTTTATTAGGAAAACATAACCGCCCTTATATAAAAAAAAGCGTCTCTTACAATATTATAATGGCTAAGAACGGCCTACGGGCTACTAATAAAAACAGAATAAAGTTGTGTACAATGCTTCTCCAAGCAAAAATCAAACTTGAATCCTTGCATACAATTGTTCTCTGTAAGTGAATTATTGCTTGTAAACTTCCCCCCTTTCCCCCCTATATTAATCGTTATATTGTTTGTCAGTTAGGTCCTTTGTACCAGAAAAGGCATTGTTTTTCGTGAAATCGTGTTATCGTGTTATCGTGCTATTGTTAAGAAACCGTTTTTGTGTAATTGTTATTATAATTTTAAGAGTTTAAGGTTTTTATCTAGAAAAAGCAACGATTGTTATTAATATTTTTAAAAGTTTAAGGCTTTTATCTATAAAAAGCAACAGCTAAGAAATCCCTCCCGAATCAACATATCAAACGATATCCGTAGATATCGGCACAGGCTCTAGATACTGAAAGAAATAACTGCTCAGTCTATCAATCTCTCTCAAAGTCTTGTCGCGGCATAAATCCCAAATTCGATTTTGTTTTTTGCTTTTCTTCTATCATTTGCACTCTGTAATGTACCCAGGAGGTATTTTTAATTTGTTCTTTGTGTGAATGCTACCTTACCTCCGTGTGATACTACCACTTCTTTGTATGAAGACAGAAAGTGTTACTACTTTACCACATAATTTATGGGATAAAAAATAACGCACTTTTACTAATAGTCAAAGTGTATCATTTTTCTTTTTGAAAATATAGTCATATGCTCATCATTCATTTATTTAGTAATCTAATATCAATAATATATTCTACTTTCTCAGAATCTGAAGTTTCTGAACTTGAGATTGAATATTGCTCTGTACGTGAATACATCCAAGACGTGTTTACCTCTCCCTTTGCCGTCTACGATGATGATAAAAGGTTTTCATTGTTTTGATTGATTAAAGTATGCACTCTGCCTGCTTCAGCGTCATTCAGGACCCATCTCTTCTGTTTGCTTCTAAAGTGGAACCATCCACATCATCGTTCAAACTCCTGGTCTTCAATCAAAGGAGGATCTTGAGATCAATATTGGGGACGACGACTGCGAAGTTACCATCACATGCAAGCTTCAAACCATTAGTATATCAGGAACGGTCGTTGTTAACACTCTTCCAAGGGAAAATCCACTAAAAATCAATTTAAGGCTTCCAAAAAAGTAAGTTACAAAAAACATTAAAAGTTAACAATGCACTATTTTACAACAGTTGTATTTTCTTGAATAGAATCGATGATCAAACCAAGGTCAAAGCCAAAGTTGTTAATGGAATGACCACGATTACTTTCAAGACAAAAATCATCTCAAGACGCCTTTTAATTGAATAACTGGAAATAATTGAATTTAAATATAAATTTTCTCTAGGGTATTCTTACATGTATCTCCATGTATATCATTAAAAAAATGTCCTGACCCTGAGGTCTATCTTTGCGCAAGAGAGTATCCGATGAGATCACATTGATTTATTTTCTCCCCAGCTCTACTTGTATGCCTTATCGATATTAATCACTTCTGTGACCAGAAAAGTGTGACTTAAAGAGGTAGCGACTGTATAAAGGTCGAATTTCCGATGCTTCAGTAGAGGATGTGACTGTATAGATGTATGACTGTATACATATATGAATTCAAAAGAAAGATTAAATTAACTGTTAAATCTATTTATTATCAAACGAAGTACGATACTCCGCTAAAATATCATTCAAGTTTCGTTTATTATGCGTGCATTGCATTTTTCTGTTCGTAGATATGCTTCCGATTAATTTTTCTATTGCTTATCCTCGGTTTTGCCTCGGCGCAGTATTGTCAATAAATTGCAAAGAGGTGTAGTTGTCTGACAACATAATGGTAAGAGTCTCGTCTCATTCTATAAGGGATTGTAATTATTACTTAAACTAAATAATAAATAATAAATTTTAAACTCAGAAAAGTTCAGAGCTTTCTTTGTTCATGACGGGAAATTAAGCGATATACCTGATTTGTGATACAGTCAAACCTCTTTATAACGGCTGCATGGTTCTGAGAATTTTGGTCGTTATAGAATAAATTCATTATACGATGTATACAACGAATATATGCGTCCTATATGATGTTTCCGAAGATTTCATTCGTTATAAAGAGGATCCGTTATATACCGGGCCATTATATGAATTTGTTGAGTCATATGAATTAGATTTAAATAATAAACATGTTAATAGGTATTGGATTACGAAAACCAACAATTATGCATTTGAATTGGTATTGCAACAGCATCGATTTTGAGCTATTATGAATCAAGTTAGCAGCTATGAATCAAGTTTGATATTATTATGGTGCGGGAACTCTTAAATCGACAATATGTTTCAATTTTAAAAGGCTACTACGCAACATAGAGGCAAAATTTTCGAAATTTAACCGGTAACTTTGTAAAACTTGTTATAAAGAACAAAGTTATCGGTCAGATTTTGAAAATTTTGCCTCTATGTTGAGTAGTAACCTTTTGAAATTGAAACATATTGTCGATTTAAGAGTTCCTGCACCATAAACAACAAAAACAGAACTTTAGCTAATGAAACAGAGTGCATTGACTTTATTTTTATGTCGTTATTATAAAAAATATAAATTAGCTCAACCTTTTTAGAGATATCCGTGTCCTTGAAGTACAGTCCTCAGGAAAGTAATGACGGACAGATTTTTTGCTGGGTGCATCCGTTGAGATGTGCTCGAGACACAATAAATTACCTGATTATTCATGTTGACATATGCTGTATTTTTACTTGCTGCCAATAATTCTTCTTTATCATCAAAAACTGGATCCCGAGGTCTGGAAGGACTTTTGGCTAATAAATTATGTTGATATTCATTTTTGTGAACGATATATCTTCACAGAAATACTTAATCATTCGGTTATTCATACAAAGTCTCTTTTTAAAAGATTTTGTGGCGCAGGATGCAAATGCATTTGCTATGGTTGTTATACAGTCTGTATATCAGTTTTATAAATAATATGTGATCATTTTTCAAGTGGGAATGTGAAAAAGAGAGTTAAGATAAAGATATCACAAAAGTAGAACATGTTACAAAAGGTTTTGGCTGTGCTAGTGAATGAGAAGTGAAAGTATATTTTTAAAGTGGTAGTTCTTAGGAAAATCACCCTTATGCCAAATTGCATTCAAACCTGTATTGATGCAGAGAGGACATGCTGATGTTTTAGGAATATAAAGTCCTGCTTATATGCATGCTGGAAATAAATAAATGTATACGTAAACAACATGAAATTTTTTGTAAAACCTCAGAATATCAATTGATATATGTGACCAAATCAAACAAATGATTAAATATAACGTGACAAATTCCAATCGGCAACTGAAAGGACATGCAAAGTATACCTGTAGTATATGTGATCAATCAGGATATAATAGTGTGAGATGTCGGAATCGCTAGGTATTTATTCATTTATTCCTTTATGTATAAACAATTTACATTGTCAGATTGCAATACTATGTTAACTTTAAGGCATAAATTAGATAATTTGTGAGGTGTTGATTCTATGAGAATGTTGGGGTTAGCTGCTATAATTTATCCCTTCATAACTTATAGTTACGCGTTCTGTTAGTAGGCTTATATGGAATTATGTTACGGGGTTGGAGGTCATAATTTATAGAACTGGAGGAATTTCAGTTCGTTATGACAATTTAAGTTTATATATTTCTGTCTTAATCTTATGCGAAGTTTTAATATGCTTATTTTACAATAAATAATGTGAACTAAATCTGTTTATTTCATCTCTTAGGTATAGTAGCCTCACTGAAATCATTCATTTGCTAGCATAATGAACGGAAAGTCTGAAGCATCGTCTGATGAACAAAATTGTGATACTTCATTACAATATGAAATGAATGAATTAAATGTTGCCTAATTCTTGTAACCAAATTTGTTCGGTACATTAAAAGTGAAACAAATGTCAGCATGAAACGGTACCAACCGTAATTTCTTGAAATTAAAATTGTCTAGCATTCATTTTTGCTATGACCCTCAAAGAAAACATTTTATTTTGTTATGCCCTTCAAAGAAAACATGTATACGATAAGGTTACTGTTGATCCTTATTGCAAAAAAATACAAGATCTCCCAACACCATCTCCTCCAGACCCATGCGCAGCGTGAAGGTGAGTTGTGCAGAGCCCATGAACCAGCAATGGAATACGTTCCACCTATGGTTAGCATATTACGAATTTGATCTTTATATCAAAAATAGGAATACTTGAATTTCTCTTAAAAATAATGATAAATTTCACTCGATTATGATTGGCTAAAAAACTTATCATTCTGACTGAGATCACAAGATCATGAGCAAAAATTACATATGTATATTGTACATTTATTATTCTATCTCATCATAAATACTATTTAGTCATAATTTAAAGTAAATTGCCATGAACACAGTCACTATTGTCATTTTAAAATATTTCATATGCAAAAGCTCAAAACAATAACAATACCAATTTGTAGCTCTAAACATGAGCTACAGCTTTACTTATAAGTATAATTTATGGTATTTAATAAAAATTAAAAGTTTAAATAGTGATAACTAAAGTATTTTTATTTTTACATTTATTAAATTTGATTGTAAATGTTATATAACTCTCTGAATAATTATTATTAATAATAATATCTTATATTAATTTGTAGCTCTTACTTTTAATTACAACTTTACTTATAACTATAGTTGATAATTATTATAGCAAAATAAATATATTATATCATAACTAAAGCAGATTAAAATTATAATAATTAAAATTATTTTTAAATTCATATAACTTCTTAAATATTCATTTTAAATATTAATTATTTTATATCAATTTGTAACTTATGTTAAAATACTTTGATTATTGAAGTTATTCAGATATTTCTAATATAAAATTTAGTAATATCAGATAATGCAAATAATGAATTTATTTTTAGTAAATTGGAAATTTTATGTTGTATGTAATAACTATTTATTGCATTTTCTTTAAACTAACTGATTATAGCAATCAAACAGGTTAATTAATGAGTTATACAGTGACTGTTATATGTTTTGTATCATGTAAATAAAAAAAAAATAATGGTAATATCTCATTATTAACATGTGCAAATAAATAATATACAAAAAGGGAAACTAGAAGTTCCTTGAATGTGAAATTCATTTAATTACTATTTTTGGAAAAAATATAATATTTTAGCAATGTGTTTGTTTTGATTATTTGTTGTTCAAAAGTAGATTCATAGAACATTTACAAATTTTATAACAAAACACAACTTGAATAATTTATAAAAGTTAATCTAATATAGTTTTTCAATTTATTTTAATAAACATATCATAAATCAATATGGATCATATCACTATCGAACAAAGATTATGAATTTCTGTCCTTCTTAAAGAAGGATTCTCTTCAAAAGAAAATATTGCGCAATCTTCTGTTATCCGACTTAAAAAAAAAATAGAAACTACTGGTTCTGTAAAAGATTT